ACATGGCTGTACTGGGTGGTGGCGGACGCATGCGGGCGGTGTTGCTGGGACCTTCGGTGGAGCATCTTATGGGGCCACGAAACGCTGTACTGGGTGGGTAAAACGCAGGGAGCAAGGGCTGTGCTGGGTGATGGCGGACGCATGCGGGCGGTGCCACTGAGACCTTCAGTGGAGCCCCCCTGTATGGGGCCACGAAACGCTGTACTGGGTGGGTGAAGCGCAGAGAACAAGGGCCGTGTTGGGTGGTGGCGGGCGCATGCGGGTGGTGCCACTGAGACCTTCGGTGGAACCCCCTTTATGGGGCCACGAGACATTGTACTGGGTGGGTGAAGGGAGCAATGGCTATACTGGGTGGTGGCTGACGCATGCGGGCGGTGCCACTGGGACTTTCGGTGGAACTCCCTATGGGGCCACGAAGCGCTGTACTGGGTGGGTGAAACGCAGGGAGCATGGGCTGTACTGGGTGGTGGCGGACGCATGCGGGCGGTGCCACTGGGACCTTCGGTGGAGTCCCCTTGGGGGCCACGAAACGCTGCACTGGGCTGGTGAAGCGCAGGGAGACATGGCTGTGCTGGGTGGTGGCGGACGCATGCGGGCGGCGCCATTGAGACCTTCAGTGGAGCCCCCTTTATGGGGCCACGAAACGATGTACTGGGTGGGTGAAACGCAGGGAGCATGGGCTGTATTGCGTGGTGGCGGACGCATGCGGGCGGTGCCACTGGGACCTTCGGTGGAGCCCCCTTGTGGGGCCACGAAACGCTGTGATGGGTGGGTGAAACGCAGGGAGCAAGGGCTGTGTTGGGTGGTGGCGGACGCATGCGGTCCCACTGGGGGGTTCGGTGGAGCTCCCTACGGGGCCACGTGGGTGGGTGAAACGCATGGAAGAAGGAGGAGGGAGGGGAGGAGGGGGAGGAGGAGGAGAGGAGAAGAGGAACGCGGGGACCGTCTCTTCAAAACGAGGGCCCAACACCACATGATGGCTGGGAAATATTCAAAAGATGGCCGAAAATAGTCACCAGACAGTTTTTGTGCTATTTTGGAATTTTCCCCCTGTGGAGGGGCAGGCCCGACTTCACAATAGTGCGCGCCGCTTCCCAGCGGGAGCTTGTCGCTCCGCAAAAAAAATGAGCGGCGCGGCGCCGAGGCGAGAGCGGCAGTTCGCCCTTTTGCGCGCCGGCTGTGCGCCCCGTCCCGCTCCTGCCACGCACCTGGCGGCGTGGGGGACAGAGCACCCATGTTGAGAGCGAAAGCGTAGACTTACGTCGGGCCTGTCCCTCTACAGGAAGAACGTGCGTATTCCTCTTCCTATATCTTTATCAGCCCTGGCGGGGGGACCCCCCCCCCCCAACAAAAAAATAGCTTGACGAAGGACCCAACCATGTGCAGGTGTGAATACCGCAGTTGACACTACCAATTTCGGTGGGGCTCCCTATAGGGCCACGAAACGTGTGAAGGGGATGGGTGTGCGGGACGCATGCGGGCGGCAGCACTGGGGCCTTCGGTGGAGCTCCCTATGGGGCCACGAATCGTGTGAAGGAGTTGACGAAATGGGTGTGGCTGACGCATGCGGGCGCGGGCACTGGGGCCTTCGGTGGAGCTCCCTATGGAGCCACGAAGCGTGTGAGGGGTGTGCCGAATTGGGTGTGGCTGACGCATGCGGGCGCGGGCACTGGGGCCTTCGGTGGAGCTCCCTATGGCCACGAAACGTGTGAGGGGTGTGCCGAAATGGGTGACGCATGGGGCGCGGGCACTGGGGCCTTCGGTGGAGCTCCCTATGGGGCCACGAAACGTGTGAGGGGTGTGCCGAAATGGGTGTGGTGACGCATGCGGGCGCGGGCACTGGGGCCTTCGGTGGAGCTCCCTATGGAGCCACGAAACGTGTGAGGGGTGTGCCGAAATGGGTGTGGGTGACGCATGCGGGCGCGGGCACTGGGGCCTTCGGTGGAGCTCCCTATGGAGCCACGAAACGTGTGAGGGGTGTGCCGAAATGGGTGTGGCTGACGCATGCGGGCGCGGGCAGGTGTGAGGGGTGTGCCGAAATGCGGTGGAGCGGTGCACGAACTGGAGGGAGCCACGAAACGTGTGAGGGGTGTGCCGAAATGGGTGTGGGTGACGCATGCGGGCGCGGGCACTGGGGCCTTCGGTGGAGCTCCCTATGGAGCCACGAAACGTGTGAGGGGTGTGCCGAAATGGGTGTGGGTGACGCATGCGGGCGCGGGCACTGGGGCCTTCGGTGGAGCTCCCTATGGAGCCACGAAACGTGTGAGGGGTGTGCCGAAATGGGTGTGGGTGACGCATGCGGGCGCGGGCACTGGGGCCTTCGGTGGAGCTCCCTATGGAGCCACGAAACGTGTGAGGGGTGTGCCGAAATGGGTGTGGGTGACGCATGCGGGCGCGGGCACTGGGGCCTTCGGTGGAGCTCCCTATGGAGCCACGAAACGTGTGAGGGGTGTGCCGAAATGGGTGTGGGTGACGCATGCGGGCGCGGGCACTGGGGCCTTCGGTGGAGCTCCCTATGGAGCCACGAAACGTGTGAGGGGTGTGCCGAAATGGGTGTGGGTGACGCATGCGGGCGCGGGCACTGGGGCCTTCGGTGGAGCTCCCTATGGAGCCACGAAACGTGTGAGGGGTGTGCCGAAATGGGTGTGGGTGACGCATGCGGGCGCGGGCACTGGGGCCTTCGGTGGAGCTCCCTATGGAGCCACGAAACGTGTGAGGGGTGTGCCGAAATGGGTGTGGGTGACGCATGCGGGCGCGGGCACTGGGGCCTTCGGCGGAGCTCCCTATGGAGCCACGAAACGTGTGAGGGGTGTGCCGAAATGGGTGTGGGTGACGCATGCGGGCGCGGGCACTGGGGCCTTCGGTGGAGCTCCCTATGGAGCCACGAAACGTGTGAGGGGTGTGCCGAAATGGGTGTGGGTGACGCATGCGGGCGCGGGCACTGGGGCCTTCGGTGGAGCTCCCTATGGAGCCACGAAACGTGTGAGGGGTGTGCCGAAATGGGTGTGGGTGACGCATGCGGGCGCGGGCACTGGGGCCTTCGGTGGAGCTCCCTATGGAGCCACGAAACGTGTGAGGGGTGTGCCGAAATGGGTGTGGGTGACGCATGCGGGCGCGGGCACTGGGGCCTTCGGTGGAGCTCCCTATGGAGCCACGAAACGTGTGAGGGGTGTGCCGAAATGGGTGTGGGTGACGCATGCGGGCGCGGGCACTGGGGCCTTCGGTGGAGCTCCCTATGGAGCCACGAAACGTGTGAGGGGTGTGCCGAAATGGGTGTGGGTGACGCATGCGGCCGCGGGCACTGGGGCCTTCGGTGGAGCTCCCTATGGAGCCACGAAACGTGTGAGGGGTGTGCCGAAATGGGTGTGGGTGACGCATGCGGGCGCGGGCACTGGGGCCTTCGGTAGAGCTCCCTATGGAGCCACGAAGCAGTGTACTGGGTGGGCGAAGAGGAGAGGCGGAGAGGAGGGGAGGAGAGGAGGAGAGGAGAGGAGAGGAGAGGAGAGGAGAGGAGAGGAGAGGAGAGGAGAGGAGAGGAGAGGAACGCGGGGCACAGTCTCTTCAAAACGAGGACCCAACACCACAGGATGGTTGGGAAAAAACGGACTCCCGGGATCTGGGGCTGTGGGACCGTCCAGATGGGCCTCGAAGTGGCCACCGGGCCTCACATGGCGTTTTGCCAAGCCTTCCCAGCACACCTAGGGCGATCAGGGGGGTCATCAGAGACGTCCCAGAGACCCCCAAGACAGCACAAAAGCGCTCCAAGAGTGACCGACGTGACCTCAAGATGGCCCAAGAGGCCTCCAGGACGGCCCCAAAGAGGCCTCCAAGAGCACTCCCAAGAAGGCCCCCCGGGGCAGAAATCATTGATGTTCTGTTGTTGTTTGGTGAATTTTAGGGTTCTCCTCTTTTCGGCTTCCCGACGCTCCAAGACGGCGGTCTTCTGGGTGTCCGAAGCCGCCTGGGAGGCTCCCAAATCGCTCCACAACCATCCGAAAGGGCTTCCAGGCAGTCCAGGAGAGCCCCAAAACGGCACAACACGGGTCCAAGATGACCCTCAGAGAGCCCCATGGCGGCCCAAGATGTCCCAAAGACACATTCCGAAGAATTCCAAATCGTGATTCGGTCGTCCAGGGAGACCGCGGTTAGAGGCAGGGTGGCCCGAGGAACCCCCGGAGGCCCCCAGAATAAGCCCATGAGGTCTCCAGAAAGCCTTAAGAAAGCCTGAAACAACTTTTGTGAGGCCCCTAGAGGCTCTCCAAGGAGGAGCCTCCGCCAAAAAGAGCTGGGGAGGATGGGGAGAATGCGCAGGGCATTGCGAAAATAAGGAAAAATAAGCATGGAGGAAGGATAACAAATAACATTATTATAGCGGCGATGCCAGAAAAGGCAACCAGGAGTTATCGCTAAATAGTCGGCTTGACCTTCCTGCTATTCCGCCTGCATACCAAACTTCAAGGACCAAGGTGCATGGCGCGAAGCGCCACTGCAGTCTTGTATATATATATATGTGTAAAAAATAATCGGTAACGACCGATCCCGATCCCGTCGGCAACGGCCAGCAAGGCGGCAGCGAGTTCAGTCGATTTCAGTCCAGTCCAGTAGCCTATCCCAGTCCAGTCCACTGCAGCTCACTCCAGTCCACTTCAGGTCCAGTCTTTTGATCTGTGGAGTCTGCGCTGGCTGGTGTCTTGTTCTGATACAGGTGGGATGGGAGGTCCTGGATCCCGCCGCGATTGCCCAGCGAGGTCGCAGAGTAGGAGCATGCGCGAAAAAAGGAATAAGGAGAGACATGCCTCGGAAGACATTAGCGAACACTCATGCCGCATTTCTCTGTCGGCGCCCCCCCCATGATAGATGCTGGCCCTGGGCTGAACGAGCTGCACTTCGACCGCAGTCTGCGCCGCGCGTGCCAACTTGGAGTTTTGAGGGGGCGGGGGGGGGGTCCACGAATTTGGTTTCCTTCTGCCGTGTGGGTGCCTCGTCTTCGCTCCCCCCAGGGGAGGCTGGTGGTCGCCGTGAACAAGATGGACGACGGCGAGCAGGGGCGAAGGGCGGGGCCGCGCGTCGACCCCACACCGCCGCCCGCTCCGCGCCGACGGCCAGGCGGCGGGTGTGAAGCCGTGGCGAGGCGTCCTGGCGTGCCCACAGCCCGACCAGGCAATGTTCTAAGAACCTCTTTTTGTGGATTCCGCGAGGTGCTCTTGGAACATTTCTGGCCGGGGCTGTCTTGTTTTAGCGCATCGGGCTTCTTCGACTAGGCGTAAGAGTGACCTTTCGCAGGAGTGACCTCTGGTGCGGGCACAGATGGGTCCCCAGATGGCTGAAAACGAGGCAGTAGCAGCGGCTCGCGCGCTCATGTTTCGTCCCCCCGCAGCCCCCCAAAAATCGCGCACCAAAGGTCACTCTTACCCAGGGTCACTCCTGCGTGTAGCCGACTTCTGTTCTAATAACATGGTTCTTTGTCCTTGGAACACTTTTGGGTTCTAGGCACACTTCGTGGCAGGACCATAGGAGTGCTGGGGCGGTCGGTCCCTGCGCAAGTTGGGGCCGCGAGTGCCCACCCTCTGTCCGGGATCGCCCCGCTTTGGGCGGCGGCGGCCGCCGAGGGTCCGAGCGACTGGCGACCGAGCGTCCACTTGGCGGCACGCCGCCGATCCCTGGGCGATGCCAGACTTACGTCGGGCGTGTCCCTCTGCAGGAGGGAAATTCCCAAATAGCCAAACATCGTCCAGGGACGATTCGTTGATTAGTTGTTTGCTCATTTCGGAGCATTTTTTGGCTATTTGTTAGTCTTCCTCCGAAATCCCCCTGTAGGGGAGAGGCCCGACTTCATGCTAGAGGAACGAAGAATGACACAAGCAGAAGAACTCGGAGGTCTGCGCGGGTTGCTCGGATCGGCGCTGGACCACCCTCCCTGGCGCGCTCCGCGCGCCAGGGGCGGCGCCGGAGGCGCCGCCAGGGGGTCTAGCGCTGATCCGAGAAATCTGCGCGGACCTCCGAGTTGTTATGTTTATGCTACTTGTTGTTTTCATAAATGTTGGCACCCCCCTTCACCACCCCTGCATTTTCGCGCGCAGCTTCCCGCTGCGCCACCGCTCGCCGCAGTCGACGACCATTGTGGGACGAGGCTAGGACGAGGATAAGTCCGTTCCAGAGCGTTCCAGAATGCTCCCGCAGCGTTCCAGAAAGCTCTGAGAAGGCCGCGGCACCCGAGACGTCCTCCAGAGCCGCCCGATTTCAGAGGTTTACCATTTCCACTCGCTCGATGTTATCCTGGTCCTGGCTTCGTCTTACATTGTAGTTTTCTATATGATGGGCTGGGCCTTGCGGTGGCGTAGGTGGTGAGTCTTCGACCCCTTGCGCCACACGCCTGGGCCCGCCACCGCGAAGTTAAGCATCCAGAGGGGCGCGCAGGCGGAAGAGGGCGTTGTCGGCACCTCTTCGACAGAATTATATTTCGAAGCGCGGCAAAACACTTATCCTGGCGCAGGAACCATACGCTGATGTGAATATAACCGCGCCCGCCCGGGTCAAGCCACACCGAAAAGGGAGCACGCCTCATCGCTAGGCCCGGCGTCGCATCGTATCACCGCCCTGGCCCTCCGCCATCCCCGGCCAGGCGAGGGAGAGGGGCCTTGGAGCAGCAAGCGCTTCGAGGCCGCGCGGTCCAGCATCTCCGCGGCGCTGCGAGGCGCGGGCCTGCAGCACGACCAGGCCTCGAAGAAGACACAACGGCATCAGCGTAAACTCTTTGACGATCCACGCAGATTTCTTGGATCGGCGCTGGGCCCGCCTGCCGGCGCCTTTGGCGGCGCCCCTGGCACCCTCCGCGCGCCAGGGAGGGGGGCCCAGCGCAGATCCGAGAAATCCGCGCGGACCGTCGACAGTTGACGGCCATGCTCTACACAACCCTGAGATCCTACGCTGCGGAAGAAATGGCAACATCGTGAAGCATCACGACCGGAGCCCCAGACCCCATCTTTCTGCGCCATATTTCGAGCTGGATCGCTCTTTCTGCAGGGTCCCGGGGTCCTAAACGAGGCGAAAGCGCCCGTTGTGAATAACTTGAGCCGCCAGGATCCTCTCAGGCACTGGCGCGCTCTTGGGCCCCAGGAGACGTCGAGAAGCCGCTGCGGAGCTGCTGGCGTCTCCCCTCACCCTGCGCCGAAGAGGGTGGCTCGGGTCAAGTCGGGCCTGTCCCTCTACAGGAGGAATACCCAAAAATAGTCAAGCAAGTTTCTGGAGATGTTTTTTATAGTATTGCAGAGACAGGATCTCAGGGCCCAGACCCCCGACGTCATGATTTGTTCATTACGTCGACCCCTGGAGGTCTCGACCCATCCCCCTGGACCGGCGTTTCATCTGAGCCTTCGTTTGACGGCCTCAAGGGCCAGCAAGGGCCCCCAGAGGCCGAGAATAGCAAGAAACCTCCCGCCATGATTTTTCTGGACGCCCGGGATGGGTACGGAAAGAATGGGTACAATGCCCAACAACAAATGTTGTCCCAAACCAACAGCGGCCGCTGTTGGGCAGGCGGCCTGTCTCGAATGGACACAGGCCGCGGCGGCGTGGACAGCGAGTCCTGTTCAAAATGAACAGGATCGGCTGTTGGGCATTGTACCCATTCTTTCCGTGCCCATTTCGTTCGTGCTGAATTTTCTCATTGCCCGAGGGGGTCTTGGGGGGAAGGTCGACTTCGTGCCCGTGAGCGCGGCGACCGGCGGGAACCTCGGGGCGCCGGAGGGGGCCTGCGCGGGCTGGTACTAGGGGACAAAATTGGCATAAACATAACAAATCGGAGGTTTGACACGTCTGCAGAACAGACCCCCACATCCCTGATGTTGTTGGCCCTCCTAGCTTAGGGTCCCCTCCCAAAGGATCAGGGGTACCTTTATCGCTGGTCAGGAATCGGGAAACGAAGGATGACATAAACATAAAAACTCGGAGATCCGCGCGGACCTCCGAGTTTTTATGCTTATGCCACTTTTCGGTTCCCTAGGTACTCCGGGGGCCCGCTTCTGGAGGCGGGCCCCCCGCCGCGGCGTGGGTCCGGAGGAGCAGCGCCGCCGGGGCTCTCCTGGAGCGCCCCTCCCGAGTCGGGGGGGGCACCCGCGGGGCTCCTCGCCGCGGAGGGATCCTCCTCCTCTCCTCCTCCTCCTCCACCTCCTCCTCCCCTCCTCCTCCTCATCCTCCTCCTCCTGCTCCTCGCCTCTTCGCCTCCTCCTCCCCTCCTCCTCCTCCTCCTCCTCTCCCCTCCTCCTCCTCCACCTCCCCCTCCCTCCTGCTCTCCACCCCCACCTCATCCTCACTCCCCCCTCCTCCTGCTCCTTCTCCTCCTCCTCCTCCTCATCCTCCCTCCTCCTCCTGCTCCTCCTCCTCCTCCTCCTCCTCCTCCTCCTCCTCCATCTTTCCTCAATCCCTCCTCCTCCTATCCTCCTCCTCCTCCCCCTCCTCCTCTCTCCTCCTCCTCCTCCTCCTCCACCTCCTCCCGCCTCCTGCTCCTGCTCCTGGCTCCTCCCTCCTCTCTCCCCTCCCCTCCTCCTCCACCTCCTCCTCCTCCTCCTCATCAACGTCAGCATCATCATCGGGACAACATCATCATCATCACCATCATCATCTCATCATCAACATCATCATCATCATCATCATCATCATCATCATCATCATCATCATCATCATCATCATCATCATCGTCATCCTCATCCTCATCCTCATCCTCATCCTCCTCCTCCTCCTCATCCCCCTGCTCCTCCACCTCCTCCTCCTCCTCCTCCTCCTCCTCCTTCCTTACTTCGCACGTGGACCGACGCACAGCCGTGCCCCTACAAGGCCTTCTTCTCCGCGGCGGAACCCTCCGCGGGCAGCCCCTCTTCCGGGGCTGGTGGGGTCGCCATTCTCTGTCAGTGGCTCTCGCTTGCGCAGGTGGCCCAGCTCCGCCCCGACCAGCTGCCTATCATACGTCCTGAGGTGATCGCACCTGGCCGCGCCATCTCCCTTACCACCATCCATCGCACGAGCAACAATACCATCGTCGTCACCAACGTCCATAACTATGAGATGCGGGGCCGTGCTCTCCTGCGTCTTCGCCAGCATTGGGATGGCTGCCGCATGTGGGCGGAGGCGGATTATCGCCGCCGGACGTTCATCGTGGGCGGCGATATCAACACGTCCAGCCGCCCGCCTCCAAGTTTCTTCCAGCCTCAGCCCGAGCATGATCGCCTCGCGCTGGACAACAACGCCCGTATGCAGCAGCCGACGTGGCGGCGCTTGTTCGACAGCATGCTGGAGGTCGAGTGTGACATGCCGACCCGCTTCAACCGCGCCGACTTCACTGCCACCTCTATCGACCGCTTCTTCGTCAGCCTCCGCTCGCATGCTCTGCAGGAGGCGATGCCCAGCATGATCGTCCAGCACAACGCTGCGCTGCCCTCAGACTCCCGCCTCAGCGACCACGCCGTGGTGTCCCTCACGATGCCGCTGAAGCCAAGAACGCCCAAGCTGGAGCAGGCCATCCCACATGCGGTGCTCAAGGACCCGCACTTCGCGGTCTTCCTCGAGCGCCTGCTTGCGCATACCGTTTTCGACTACCTGGACATCGAGGCCCGCTGGAAGACACGCAAGCGGCTCATGCGAGAGGCTGCTCGCATGGTCTGCGACGAGTGGACTTGCATCCCAATCGGCGACACCACGCGGCACGGCTATTTGGAAGGCCGCGTCATCACCTCGTGCTCGATTTCACAGGCGGTTTAGAAGCAGGACGTGCCGCTTGCCTTCCGCCTGATCTCGAAGACCGAGTTGGGCGCCCGCTTCCTCGAAGTCTCCGGCGACGAGGTTCGCCTCCTCCTCCTCGCCGATGAGTTCGCCTCGACTGCGGCAGCGCTCAACCAGGACTTCGAGGACCAGCGGCGACGCCAGGCCGAGCAGGCTTCGCAGCGCCCTCGCGGGCAGGCTGACGCTGTGGGGCCTGTGCAGCTCCTGCGCATCCGCCGCGTCTCCCAGCGGAGGGCTCTGATGTGGGCCCCGTGGAAGAGACGCTTAATTCTGGAAGGAATCGCCATACGCTGCCTGGTTGGCTTGCGTCGCGTCGCTAGACTAGCTGGAGGTCTTGGCGCTCTTTCTGTGCTCCTGGCAATCTATTCCGCACACGCTGATCGACTCCGACTTCGCCTTCTTGCCGAAAGGCGACAACGCCACGGGCTCCCTCACGACGGACCGTGCTCCGGAGGACACGCGCCCGCTGTCGCTCAAGAACACGGACATCAAGGTAATTGCGGGGGCCGCCAACAATCGCATCACGGCGGCCGTTCGTGAACGAATTCTTCGCATTCAGCAGGGTTTCGTGCCCAGTCGCAACTTCACCCAGCACATCGTCCTCTCGGATGCCGCGATGCGGTCGGCCTCCCTTTTGGCCGACGACCCGAGGAAGCTGCCGACGTTCACCAGTTTCGACTTCGCCGCGGCGTTCCCGTCGCTGGGCAGGGTCTGGTTGTTCTGCGCTGTGTAGCAATTCGGGCTCCCGCAGGGCTGTCTGCACTTGTGCCGCGCGCTGCACAACGCCCCGATGAGCTACGTCAAGGTCGACGGCGTCCGCTTTGCGGTGTTCGCCCTTGAGTCTGGCATGGCACGGGGCTGCCCTGCCAGCGGCTCGGCATGGGCCATCGCGACGGACCCGCTACTTCGCCATCTCTGCTCGCTCGTTGAAAACGCGGATGGCCAACCCGACCCCGAGAAAGGGTCATGTTGGGGGTTGCGCCGGCGACGTGGGCCTGGTCTCGATCGAGTTTGACACGCTCCGCAAGGCACACGAGCCGATGGCTGCGGCGGAGTCCCTCGCCCTTCGGAGGCTGAAGCCCTGCAAATGCGTAGTCTTAAGTCGGGCCTGTCCCCCTACAGGGGGATTTGCGACGAAAAATAAAAGATACCCCAAATTAGTCAAAAATAATCCAAAAGTAGTCTGGGGATTTTTTTTGTGTTTTTGTTGAGCTTTTGAGGGTATGTTGGGGGTATTTTTTATTTCCTACCTAGGCTCTGCCTAGAAGGGTTCTTACTCTGAGGCTTAAAAGGCCGGGCAGTGGAATGCGCCCCGGGCGGTTCCCCCGGCATCCGCCCCGCGGTTCCCCCAGTGACGTTCCCTTAGCTTCGCGTTGTTTATCTCATCTTAGCTTAGCTTATTTCATCTTACCTTAGCTTAGCTTCATCTTACCTCAGTTTATCTTAGCTTAGCTTACCTTCATCTCAGCTTCGCTGAGCTTTAGCATAGCAGAGCACAGCATAGTATAGCGTAGCATAGCATAGCGCAGCATCGCATATCATAGCATGGGTGGAATTCCCTACCTAGGCTCTGCTTAGAGGGTTAGCTTAGCTCAGCTTAGTTTAACTTAGCTTAGCGTTGCTTATCTCATCTTAGCTTATCTTATTTCATCTTAGCTTAGCTTCATCTTGGCTTAGCTTAGCTTCATATCAGTGTTTGATGCTGCTTTCCTAGATCCTCCAACTCCTAGGTAGGGTCGCACAGGGATTGTTTTTCGCCGGAAATTCCCCATGTAGGGGGACAGGCCCGACATAAGCGTAGTCGTCCCTCTCTGGACAAAGACCGCCCTTGACGCCCAGGTGCAAACACGTCCCTTCCTCGCCGAGATCTCACCCTCGTGGGTGAGGTTCGCGGTGGAGGGGCGCGCCAAGTATCTCGGCGCTTTTCTCGGCCCCTCGGCCTCATTAGCCTGCCAGTGGCTTGCTCCTGGACAGAGGTGGTGGTTGCGCGGAAACCAGCTCGCGCCTGTCCAGGGGGGGGGAGTGCTAAAGCACCTCCACAAGTACCACCCTCAGCTATATTAGCCAGTTCTTCCCTGTGTAGCGGCAGCCCGTGCGCCGCGAGCTTTATATATTCTATAATGTTTTGAAGTTTCCTCCCAGCACGTTCCGCAAGGTCGACATTGCGTCACTTGCCGAGTGGAGCCCGCCACCGACCCCCCATTCGATTCAGGTGCAGGCCGCTGCCGCTGCCATGCGCTCGGCTGTGCACACACTCGGCGGCTGGTGGCACGCTGCCCACGCCCGCTTGCGGGGCATGGCCTGGGAGGAGAGTGCGATGCAGGATCTTCCTTTTCGATGGCCTCGTGACCTGCGGCCTCCGCCAATCTGGGAGGTGCTACCAGGCGTTGTGCTGTGGCTCCCGCGTGCCGCCGTTCGCTGCGGCCTCGATTGCCGTGGCTGCGTCTGCCGCTCGCCGGGAGCAGCAACAGGCTGCTGCCGTGCCGCGTCGCCCCAAGGTGCAACGTGAGGTCGCCACGGTGCGGCGCCGCGCTCGTTTCATGCCGCGTTTTGAAGTCACTCTCCGGAAGCGCATTGGTGTTTGGGCCTGTTCGGATCAGCTGAGCTCGCCTGCCGAGCTTTCCGCACGTTGGAGTTTGTTGAAGGCCGTTCTCGGGGAGGTTTGTCCAAGCTGGCGCTCGGCATTGATCAAAACTCTCGCGGGCGGTTGGACCACCACTGCACGCATGCACGTCCTCGAGCAGAGATATTGTGTCTTTGGTTGCGCCCGGCAGCCAGATTCATTTTCACACCTCTCTTGCCCCACTCTGCTTCATCTTCTTTGGTCCTCTGAGCCTCCTCGGCTCCAATCCACACTCACAACCTTGGGGCTCGGCCCTGCTGCCGCTTACGTGCCTGACCCTTCCGACGTGCTTTCGTTGCGGCGGACCGTCCAGGGCGTAGTGCTAGCTGTTTATATCTATAACACACAAAAGTTGGCTGATGACTTCTCGCCAGACATTTTGGCAGCGTCGCTCAATGCAGCTCGCGCCAGGCTCTTCCCCTAGTCCACAGCCCATCGGGAGACTCGCGCCCTCTATTACCGTCGCTCCTCCTCCTCCTCCTCCTCCTCCTCCTCCTCCTCAGCTCGGATGAGGAAATCATCGAGGATAAAAAGACCCCTAGCCTTAATGACATAGTGAAGACGTGGCCCCACTGAGGTCCCCGTTGTCGCAGTAGGGACAACAAGTCTTGGCCGTTTGGCCTGACACAT